AAAAAGAAAAAAAAAAAAAAAAAAAAACTATACTTATTTACGTTTCGACCATTGATTGGCGACTTTTGAAATACTTTGTTTTAATACTTTAGAGATTGTTTCAATGTCCTTTTTAGTGAATTCAACGGATATAATACATTTCAATGAAGGTCGAGGACACTGCCATTCTTGAGCCACATTGTATTTAGCGCGCGTAAATAATACATTTTGATGTAACGCTTCATCCACCACGGCTTGTAAGAATAAAGTTTCATCGATGAAAGTTTGAGAAGAAGTCGAAGTAGACAAGGTGGACGAAAGCGTAGAGGCATTGGAAGACAACGAGGAGGACGACGACGACGAAGAAGAAGAAGAGGAGGCTAAGGGTAAAGTGGAAGTCGTGGAGGTAGGAGAGACTGAATTTGTATGATGAGGATACAGCACCGAGTCTAAATTCACTCGGATATGTTGCAACGGAGAATCGATGGCCGCACTCCATTCCAAACCTTGTACAGAGCTCAAGCATTGACGAAAATAAACAAGGTTATTTTTCAACGTCGATGACCACGTCGCCCCATGCACTTGAAGCAAATGTAACCCTTCCATGCAAGCTACCGTGACCAATGGGGGTAACGAGGCAGAAAAAACATACGCCGCCGCACTTAACCGTTGATGATCGATCACCGCTTTCGAACCTGCACAAAACCCTCCTGAACAGGCCAAAGCTCCAGCTAAACTTCCCATGTAGATATCTACGTCACTGGGATTCACATGATGGTAATCCAGGGTCCCTAACAAGTTCGATCCGATACAACCCAATCCTACAGAATCATCTAACATTAATCTAAATTTATATTTTTTTTTTAAACGAATAAGCGCAGGTAAATCCACTATATCACCATAATTAGCTGAAACCCCTTCCACCAAAATAAATTTCCGAAACACGTTTTTTTTAGATCCGATGGAAGTGGTAGATTTTTTAGTAGGATGCTTTTTGGTAGTATTTGTATTTTTCGAATTTGGAGTTGATGCTGGTGGATCGTTTTTCTTTTTTTTGGAGGAAGTCAATGAAGAAAAATATGACCAAGCCCCAGAGGCATTGGACGGGTTGGATTGCAAGGCCATGATTTTATCTTCTAAATCCTGCAAGTCATTGTGTTTAAAATAAACCACGTTTGATCTAGAAATTTGAACGCCTTTTTGTGCAGGAAAACAAATGGCTTCATCCACCAAAATCAAATCTCCTCGTTTAGCAAACGCAGGAATCACACTCGAAATGGTAGAAAACGCTTGTGCATATAAAATGGCTTGTTCGAAGCCAAGCACGTGTGCTAAAACACTTTCTAATTGGACATGCACATCCATGGTCCCATAAAATCCAGGAGGACCACACGATCCCACCCCATAAATTTTTAAGGCTTCGATGGCTTTGGCTTTGACTTGAGGATGATTGGCCAAGCCAAGTAAATTCATGGAACTGACCAGTGTGACTTGTTTATTTGAACCGATTAATTTGACTTTAGGACCCGTGGCTGAACTCAAAACAGGTATTTTTTCTTCTTCTTCCATCCACATGAGATGACTATGGGACAGGTCTTCATTTGAAGTCATCCCATTATTCCAAGTAGAAGCCGTGTGGTGGTGATGGGTGTTCAGAAGATTAGACGATGGATGAGAAGAAGACAACGAAGTGAAATGAGGAGGTACCAAAGGTTCAGGCACCCATTCGTCGACCAATTCATCTATTTCAGGTTCAGTGAATTTTAAATGGACATGGTCTGGATCGGGTTGGTAACGTTTCGAAACCAAATACTTCACTGCAAAAAAAAAAAGTAACAATTCCAAGACAACTCTGACTGGATCATTTTGATAAGAATTTTTTACATATTGAGTCACATAGCTTGATCCAGGTAACGTTTGTAACCATGTCCACGTTTGATGGAAATACACTACGAAAGTGGCATAAATAGGTTGAGCGGTAGATAAAAAGGAATGAAAGGTAGGTGGTGTAGTAGAGAGGATCGAAGGAGGGTTCATGGTCCATGAATTGGAGAGTAAATCTTCCGACGCCATTTTGTTCTTAATACGTGTAAAGAAATTTACTAAAGGAATGGACAAGTGTAATTTTTTATTTATCAAGTCAAATTCAAATAGAAGAACACTGGAGACACTTCAAAAGCAATAAACAAAAAGTTTGAAGTCGCGGGATTTTTTCTTTCCTTTTGTTTTCTTCACAAGTGAGGTTCACTTCACTTCCAAGGAAAGACTTTTTTTTTTTTAAAAAAAAAAAAAAATAAATAAAAATAGGATGGTTAAAAAAATCATGTCATGCACGTGACTCTTTAAAAGAATAAAAAATGAATAGGATGGAGAAGCGGAGAAGAGGGAGAGGAAAGAGTAAAAAAAAAAAGGTTGGTTTAACTGCATCTTTGTTTCGTTCTTCAATGATTCTCCCCTATTCTATTGTATTTTTTATATTTTAATTCTTTAAGTTAAGTTTTTTAGTTTTTCTTTGATTTTTAAATATTCAAACGAATTACATTGAAAAAAAATGCAAATAGGTATACTAGTAAAGAAAATGGAAGGGACAAGTTTTATTAATACCACGGCCGTCTATATAACTCTGTTAAATAAATACATGATTGGTTGGAAAAAAAAAATCATTTAAAGCACAATAAATTTTTGATAATAAAAAGATCAAAAATAAACAAAAGGAATTAACCAATTCTCTCCAACCGGGAATCGAACCCGGGTTTGGCACGTGACAGGCGCCGGTGATCACCACTACACTATTGGAGATTGACACGCTTAATCTCTAAGTAATGGATAAAAATCTTCCGTATTTTAGATTTACTTTATTGTTATTTTTATTTTTTTAATTTTTTATTATAATAAAAAAATAAAACATGAATTTTTATTTTTATTTTTATTTTTATTTTTTTACTCATCTTTCATTTGTGAAAACCCAAACGAGAAAGAAAAACCATATGAAAGGAAAGAAAAAGTGATATGTAATGAAACATATCACTTAGTCAATTGTCAAACACCTACTCCTAACTTCTTGACTCCCACTTAAGTGACACGTGAGTAGAAGAAGTCTTTTAAATTTTTTTTTTCTCATTACTTATTTTCTTTGATTTTTATTTTTATTTTTATTTTTATTTTTTCATAACTATCTCACTTACCTTTTCTTTTTCTTTTTCTTTTTCCATTTTTAAGAAATTCCTTCTTTCTTCTTCTTTTCTTTGATCTCATTTTGTTCTTTGTGTCTATTTGTCGTCTCTCTTCTATCTGCTTAAGTTTTCTCTTTTCTTCTTAACTCACTTCCTAAAGTTTAATCATTCTCATATTTCAATTTGAAAGGATTGAGACTGTTTTCTATTTTAGTTTATTAATTTAAATTCAATACACTCACTCACCACTCAACTTACTCATCCCTATTACTCCTACTTTTCCATTTCAATCTTTTATTCTTCTCCCTTAGACTTCAATCCAAACTATCCCTTGATTCATTTTTTAAAAAACACAATAATAATATCGTCATGTCTGAACGAAAAGCCATTATTAAAAACGCGGATATGTCCGAAGAAATGCGTATGTTATTTTTATTTTATTTTTTTCGATTTCTTTTTTATTTATTGATTGATTGATTGATTGATTGATTTTTCTGGATTGAAAAAAATCTCTATTTTTATTTTTATTTGATTTATATATATACCTATATATATATATAATTGTATATAAGAGGG